TTGCTAAAACACACTTATAACCAGATAGTGCACATAAGGGGCTCTAGTCTTAAAGAAGAATCTGCAGAAAAAATAGGAGTGTAGCGAGGGAGGAGGGATATTGTCCCCAATGAGACAATAAATTTTCTTGAAGGAACCCATTTGATCTTGGAAGCTAAGTAGGGTCAGCCCTGGCTAGTACTTGGACAGGAGACCACTAATGGATACCAGGTAATGTAGCTCTGGTGCTCCACCAAACTACAAATCCCAGGATTCCATAGCATTGAGCCATGGCAGTTAAAGTAGTGTCAAGCTGCATCGATGCTGCAGTGAAGATGCAGCCAATGATAGGGAAAGGATTCGACTTTAACTGCTGACATTTCAGACCTGTGGAGTTCTGGGATCTGTAGTTTAGGGAGGACTAAAAATTTTCAGCTAAAGTGCTCTAGTGTCTCTCCAGACCACAAACCTCAGGATCCCATGGGATGCAGTTAAAGTGGCATCGTAGTCTTATAACTATTGTGTAGCACACTGTCCAGCATTTCACAGATGAAATCTGATGTTACATCAGAGTGTGATCAAGATGACAAAAGTTAATTAATGAGGAAGCAAATCTCAAGCTAGGAGAGTCTGTAGCAGTTTGCTTTTGCCTGAGTCTACTGGGAAGGGTAAGATTCTATTGCCTCTTGCCTCGCCTGCTGAGTCAGAACTTAGGCTGCATCTGCACTGCTGAATTAAGGCAGTTTGATACCAGTTTAACTGCCACAACTCAATGCTATGGAACTCTGGGATTTGCAATTTTCTCCTTCTTGGTCAGAGAGTTCTGGTGGCACAACAAACTACAAATCACAGCATTCCATAAGACGTTTAAAGCCATGTCAAACTGCATTAACTCTGCAGTATGGCAGCAGCCTTATAGTTTGCAGCAACAGAAGATGATTCAAAGGTGGGGGGGGGAGAAATTAGGACATTTTAAAAGCAGCTGGGGGAAAACGGGACAACAGAGGATTATGTGGGTCTGCCTCTGCTAAATCAGGACAGTTGTAGGGCAGTTGTCCTGTGAAAGACTGCTTGGTTTGGGGGAAGAGGTGAGATAAATGGCCCTTTTGTACATTTGTTGTTGTTGTGTGCCTTCACTTCTGACTTATGGTGAACCTAAGGTGATCCTATCATGGGGTTTTCTTGGCAAGATTTGTTCAGAGGTGGTTTGCCATTGTCATCCTCTAAGGCTGAGAGAGTGTGACTTGGTCAAGGTCACCCAGTGAATATCATGGCTGAGCTGGGAATTGAAGTCTGGTCTCCAGAGTCACAGTCAACCATTCAAACCACTATCCCATGCTGGCTCTACACAGTTTCATACTACACGATTATACTGCTATGATTCCACTTTATGGCTACATCCTGTGGAATCCTGGGATTTACAGTTTAGGAAAGGGGTACTTAGAATTCTCAACCAGACAGCTCTAGTGCCCCATAAAACTACTAACTCCAGAATTCCAGAGGATGCATGATGCTGTAAATTGTGCAAGAGGGCCCAATATTAATAACTAAGCAATAATAATCCTGGCAATTTACCAGAATTAATCACTTTTAAGATAAACAATCCATTGTTTGGGATCAGTATCCCCTATGCTTTGATTCAGTGCTGGCCATCAAGACTTCTTAGTTTCTTTTTGTAATGCCTTGGGGTAGAAAAGGGTAGCTACCCTAATTGTAAAAACTGAGGAGGACAGCATTTGCAGACTTCCAGGGAAGGCAGGGAGACTCAAAGAGGTAAAAACAGAAACAGCCACACGGGGGCGCTAAAGCCTTAGGAGAGCAGCTATGAGCAAAAGGCTAGAGTGTCCCAATGGAGACTAAACTCTCTGAGACTAAGCCATGCCCCTATCCACAGGCTCATAGATCTAGAAATGTATAGAATGCTCTAAACTGCTCAAGAAAAGAGACCTTATAAACCACCCAAAGAGAAAACAGACTTTTCTTTTAAAAAAGAAATTTGCGGCTTTGACTTTTCCAGATTTGATTATTCATGGATTTTATTAATATGCTCTCTCTAGGGATATCTAGGTCCTCCAGCGCAACTCTATGGTCAATTTGAACCAAAAGTTGCACTGAAGGAGCTAGAGATTCCTAGAGAGAACACTCCACTAGGCATTTGTAGCAACTCTAGCGTAATTCTATGGTCAATGTCTGGCAGATGTTGACCACAGAGTTGCACTGGAGGACCTAGAAGTTCCTAGAGAGGTGTTTTCTCAGGCAAAACATAGTGTTTTTGTTCCATGTGGTTTTTCCACGTTCATAACCCCAGCAAATGTGGAGGAAGGAATGTATATCCTTTTCTGTATCAAAAGATCTCAAGTTTGGGTTCAGACAGCAAGTAAAATGCAAATAAAGCAATCATAGAATCAATCCATCAGGCCTACCCAGTCAATTTTAAATCATGACTTTTCAATTTGTATATGTACTCTTACAAGTTTTTATAGAGTCTGGATGGTCATCTGTCAGAGGTGCTTTGATTGTGTATTCCTGCATGGCAGAAGGGGGTTGGAACTGATGCCCTTTGGGGAACTCTTCCAGTTCTACGACAATGAGATTCTGTGTCATCTGATGTATCCTGTACTCCCCGCACCCCCCTATTGATGTCCTTGATAGGAATATAATGTCATTGTTATCTGCTGTCAAGTGGACTTCAGCCTTGCTCTGGTGCCACAACCAACTATAATTCCCCAGAATTCCATAGCTTGGAGCCATGGCAGTTAAAGTAGTGCCAAACTAGATTTCTGTGGTGCACATACAGCCTAAGAGGGTCAATGGTAGTTTCCTTTCTCTTGTTTCTGACACTAAACCAGTGATTCCCCAGCTTTGGTCCTCCAGATGTTTTGTACTTCAGCTCCCAGCATTCCTGATTGTTGACCAAGCTGGCTAAGACTTCTGGGAGTCGAAGTCCAAAGCATTTGGAGGCCCAAACTTAGGGAATCCCTGGTATAAACCATAGATAAATTAACCTATATAGACTAGCCCCATCCCCAGGTAATCATACAGAAC